GTCCCACCAGGCACCCAAGGTTCCCTGGCTCCCCTGTGTACATCTGTGCCTTAAGACCTGGGCCTGGCTGAAGGATCAGCAAGCGGGATCATTACAGTGACCCCCAGCCACTCTCCCTCAGCTCTCCATAGCCCCTCTGCTGTACACACACACACACACACACACCCCAACCCCACCCCCTTGGCCCGGTATCCACATGTGTGGACGTGGCCAGGGGCTCTGAGCCAACCATGGCCCTGACATCAGAACCCAGGCTGAAGCTTGGAGCCCAGCAGCCAAGTTCAGTGCAGATAGGAAGCCTACTTGCCCAAGGCCCATTCTGGTGCCAGCTCCAAGATGTGGCCAGTGCTGTGTGGGGCCAAGCGTCCTATTCTTTACCAGTGAGTAAGCCTGGCCTTTGATGGGGCTCAGCTTCTAACGCTTACCCAACTCCGGGTTCGTCTTCCTCAAGACACACCTGGAGCCAGTTTGCCCTCAGCCAGCAAGGGACAGGCACTTTACCATTAAGTGTGCATTGTGTCTCCTCCAAGAGCGGCCCACTTAAAATATTTCAGGCCCCAGCCCATCCCCACGGCTCCAACTGGCTGTCCACCTACACGGTCTTGGGTAACTGGCCAGGCTTAGAGGACACTACTCTACAAGCCACCTGTGACCCATCACTTTCCCTTTCCGAAGTGTTTCCCCCAGCTTCTTTGCCTTGACTGTTGCCATGTCTGTGCCGCCCAGCTCCTGCCTGCTCACCATGCTGATTTATTTGGAAGTCTCAGCGGCACACACAGCCTGGCGCTCAGTGAGGCTCTGCTTCGGGTGAGCAGGCTTTGAAGATTAACTTCTTTAAAAAAAAAAAAAAAAAAGCAGACAGAAAGAAATGAAATGCAGTCGGGAGAGGCCTGGCAGTGGGGCAGCCTGAGGATGGCCAGGCCTGGCTGCTGGTGTGGACAGTGAGGAAGGACAGATGGCCTCTCGTCTCGGAGCCACGCCCGGGAGGAGGCTGGGAGTATGCCCACAGAGTCCAGTGGAGGGGGGTGGTTCTGACCACCCAGTTCCTACTCTGTTCTGGCCCCTCAGTTCCTCTGTGCCTCAGTTTCCTATTCATACAGCAGCCTGACAAGGGCAAGAGGAGGTAGGTGAGGACACACTTCTGAGGTCATTCTTTTTTCCTCCATTTTCTTAATTTTGTAAAAGTACAACAACAGTTACTGAGAAAAGGTTCAAACATGGCTTCCAGGTTTTTCTCGTGCGCTCCCAGGGAGTGGGTGACAGGCACGCGTGCCCTCACCATGTGGGTTCTGTACATCTTCCCCTCACTTGACCCTCACCTTGTTTCCAAGGTGCGCGTGCATGCAGCAGGCGACTGGGGCGGACTGAGTGTGCACATGTGTACTGGGGGACAGTGGTTATCAGAGAACCTGGAGGTCCCAGCTGGTTCAGGAGGGAGAGTGGCTTCAGGCTATAGCTCCCCCTGGTCCAGAAGGATAACAGGAAGTAGGGACTGCAGTGGCGCCTGGGAATGACAAGCAAAATTCAGGACACCCACTTAAGTAGGGGTTTCAGATAACCAAATATTTTAGTACTAATGTCTCAGGTTGTGCAGGGGATGCCCTCACACAAGGCTCTTGCTGTCCTGGTTGTCCTGTTGACTTGGCACCCTGGGCTGTAGTTAAATATGCAGCCCTGGAGGAGGCACCAAGGCCCCTGCGGGACGACAGAGGACAGATGGGATGCTCCTGGATCCTGGGCCTCTTGATGGACAGTGGGCTCTGGAGGGCAGAGGGAGTGGGGACAGGCTTCTCCAGGACACACAACTGTGTCTTGCTGTGTTCCTATGGGTAGGACGCCCACCATCCTCTAGGGCCATAGGCACTGCCTCCTTTCCCGGGAGGTACCAGCTCCATCCACTTTGGTTAGAGACACTGTAGGGCACCCTGTGGGCTTGGAGAGAGTGGCAGGGCTGTCCAAACCAGGAGAAAGGGATGGATGGGGTCAGGAGCATCACTTAAAGGCTGGCCAGTCAGGGTGGGCAGAGCAGCATGAGCGATGAGGTCAGGGCAGGTGACTAGGTGTTGTTGTGTCACAAGCAAGGCTGTGCTGTGGAATCCAGGGAGAGCTTGGGGGCCCTGGACTGGAGCTCCCAGACTGCAAGTGACAAGAATCCATACAGACACTGAAGTGTGAGTCAGGCAAGGGACAGGTGGCTAGGCGCTGGCAGCTCAGGGGACATTGAGCTGGGGAGGCCCTGGTCAGGCTGCAGTAGTGACTATCAGTGGCCCCCATGACCATCACAGCTGAGCCTCCTTGTGATCTCCAGCCTTGTTACCTAAGTTCAGATTCCTGAGCCCCCTCTGGACTCCTGACTCAGCCCAGAGGCTCCCAAGGGCAGGGAGGCCTGGGATCCCTGGTGGGATTTGGGCCTGTGGTATTGGGAGTCATTCTTTGCTGGGAGCCATGGGCAGGAGGTGAGGACCTTGGGGCCTCTGGAAGGCTTGGGATGGTCCAGTCGTGCCCCACCTCCAAGGACAGCACACAGCAGGCATGGGACATGCCGCCGGCACCATACACTGGGCATCCAGTGCTTGCTGGGGGTTGGGGAGAGTGCATGCTCAGAGCCCCAGACATGGGAGGCAGATGCCCAGGGAAACCAGTAGGCCCCTGAGCATTGGCCCTCAGGCCTGACCTCCAGATGGGGCCTGTGGCCTCAGGGCCCTGCCCCCTCAACACAGTGCGGGGTCAAGACTCAGTGTGGGTGACTCAAAGACCACAAAAGAAAAATGACAACTGCATTTCTGTGCTTTTGTGGCTCTGAACACCACAACCAGCCTGTGAAGAGTCTGTTGACACATTTTACTAATGGGAAACCTGTCCCCGTGCCCAAAGGCCAGTGAGTCAAAGCTCTGAGGAACCAGGATTTATGTTGTGCCAGGCCAGGCAGGCCTCACAATCTCAGTGCTCCCAGTGCCTCACAAGTCCTGTGTGAACTCTGACCTGGCTGTCAGTCAGTCCTGAGTCTCTCTCTCATCCCTTCACCCTGCTGCCCCATGCCTGGGGCTCACACACCTGCTCCCTTACCTCGCAGACCTCATCCCGCCGAGCCGGGCTCTGCTGTTCCAACTGCCACACAGCCACCACCACTCTGTGGCGGAGGAATGCGGAGGGTGAGCCTGTGTGCAACGCCTGTGGCCTCTACATGAAGCTGCATGGGGTGAGTGGCCCCATGCCTGCTGAATGCCTCTGTCAAGCACCATTGGAATGATCCTAGGCCAGGGGGCTGGGAGGAGCCAGGCAGGAGGCCCTTGCTCCCTGGGGTGAGTGTGTTGCAGGTGTGTTACACACATGTTGGCTGCCAGCACACACATGGGATGGGGGCTCAGAGGTCAGATAGCTCACTGAGTCTTGTGCTATGAGCTGAGGCTCATCACAGCCACTCAGCCTGGGTGGAACTGACCAGGTCTGTGTGAATAACTCAGCCCTGGGAGTCCAGGAGGGACCAGCTCTGCTGGGCTTAGATGAGGAGGTGGCTGTGCAGGAGGCCACATGGGTGAGCAGGCTCACAGAACACACATTTGCCCTCACTCTCCCTACCAGGTGCCTCGGCCTCTGGCAATGAAGAAAGAGAGCATTCAGACACGGAAACGGAAGCCAAAGACCACCAAAACCAAGGGCTCCTCAGGTGTGTGGGGTGCAGGGAGGGAGCCCGCTCTCTAGGCCTCTGAGTTAGCCCAGTCCCACCTGGGGGTCCTTTGGCTGGTTGGGGGCAAGGTGAGTTAGTGTGAGCTGGCCCAGCAGTGGGGCAGAGGGCAAATGGAGAAAGCCACACCCAGCACCCCACCCCTTCAGAGACCACAAGGAGTCTCCAAAGCCCTGGCACAGGACAGGAGGAGAACTGGCCACATGGCAGGGAGTGTGGCCAAATCTGTACCTTCTTTCTGTGAATGCTCCCCCTTTTTTCCCAGGATCCATACCAAATGCCACAGCTTCCCCACCCACCCTTCCCAACCCTGACAGCTCAGCCACCACTTTGAAAGCAGAGCCCAGCCTGGCATCCCCAGTGTGTGCTGGACCCAATGTCACCTCCCAGGTAAGGAGGACAGGGTGGGCAGGTGCCACGGCAGGGTCCACATACTTCCTCAGAGAATTATGACTCCTGGTCTGACTCAGACCCCATCAGAGCCCTGAGGGTCTCTCCTAGAGGGGTTGGAGCTGGCTGGACACACCATCAGCCCTCAGCCAACAGTGTGGTGTCCTTCCCAAGAGCCCTGAAGGCCTTAACAAGAGAGATGCCCAGAAGGGGGGACCTGGGAGCAAATCACCCTGTCGTGGGGGCTCCCCAGCCTAGAGAGGCCAGTGCCACTCTGAATTTTCATGCGTCCCATCCTCCCTGCAGGCCTCCAGCCAGATAGATGACCCCCTGGCTCCCAGCCACTTGGAGTTCAAGTTTGAGCCTGAGGACTTTGCCTTCCCCGCCACAGCCCTGGGCCCCCAGGCTGGCCTTGGAGGGGCCCTGCGCCAGGAGGCCTGGTGTGCGCTAGCCTTGGCCTAGGTTCCTGGGCAAACTGATGTCAGGGCAGCCTTCCAGAAAAGAACCCACAGATCCACCGTGCACCTGCCTCACTTGAGCACAGCAGAGATCACTGGTCCCACTGCCAGGAGAAACTGGCCTCCTGGAGTAAAAGGCATTGGTGTCCTCCACAAGGTAGAGACAGCCCAGAGCCAAGGGTGGGAGAAGAGTTCAAGTTCTACCCTGGCAGCTAGGAGTTCCCCAGACCCCACACAAGGCCTGTTTGGTGCCAAGGCTACCCAGCACACCCTCCGTGGATTTGAACTCTGTTGTCCATAGTCTGCATTGACTGTCAACACAGTTACAAGCTGTAGCAGCTATAAAACCCGGATTCCAAGCAAAACAAACACCTGCAGCCAGGTGGGCAACAGGAACAAAGGGAGCTCAGCCATGAACTCATTCACTTCCTACATCTGACAGGGAGGGGAGCCATGGTGCCTTTCCTCTTAGTGGCACAGGACCACCAGGTATGGGTGTGCAGGCCACGCACTGAACCAGGCTTCACTCCTTAGGAGATGCCATCCACTTTGCAGTCATCACAGACTTGTGTATTTATTCGGACAGTTTTTCCAGAGGGGGCAGTAAAGGGCCTTGTTCTGACTGAATCTGTGTACTGTGGCCATTTCTGATGGGCAGCAGAAAGTGTCTGGGGCACTGTTTGAACCCACACAGAAGCATCATTGGGCTGGGGTGCCATGGCCTCGTGGTCTGGCTCAGTTGGGACTGTCAGGTTGGTCCATTGATTCAGCAGTGTCATTAATGCCTCCCTATACCAGGTCCTGCTGGTGACTCTGCCCAGGGGCTGAAGACCAGCACTGGGGAACTGATGTCAGGGAGCTGACAGGGAATGGAGGGGAGTGGGGTGCACTGTGGGGCCACATCTTCACTTCCATAGGTGGCTGCCTTTCGCCAGCAAGAGCTGATTGTCCAGGGAAGTTAGAAACTGAACGTTTTAAGTTGTAAAGTTTTTTAATTTGAAGCCTTTTAAAAAATCCATCTTGAGTTTAAACTCTTAGATACAGCCAGTCATCTGTGGCACAACTACAGACCAGCCACCAGCCATTCCTGTCAAAGCTGTATGCAGCTGGGGGCGTAGCTCAAGTGCAAGGTCCTGGGTTTGAACCCCAGTATCAACAAAAGAAAAAAATTCTAAAACTGCATGCTTAGCTGGGCTAGTGGCACACACCTGTAATCCCAATACTTGGGAGTGAAGATAGGAGAATTACAAATTCAAGGCTAGCCTAGACTGCATAGCAAGACTTTTCTTCAAAAAAAAAAAGAAAGGAAGGAAAGAAAAAACCTTCATGTTTAAACTGGATGTCACTCCAAGACGTAGCCTTCAGAGTCCTTCCAACACCTTTCCACAGAAGGGCCTCTTCCTCCTCCTCCTCCTCCATCTTCCTTTTTTCTTCTTTCTTCTTCTTCTTCTTCCTCCTTCCTCTTCTTCTCCTCCTCATCCCCCTCCCCCCTCTCTTCTTGGAGCCATGAGAACAGTAGTGAAATAAAGCCATTGAGCCTCACACTCCACACTCTGCCTGCCCGTCTATCACTGTGGGATTTCCCAGCCTGGTCGTTGCCGACACTGCGGTTTTGTTGATCATTTAGCCTGTCCTTTTGGAAATGGGCCTTAGAGGTTGGACTGGGCTTCCCTAGCCACCCAGGTCACCCTAGGAGCCACAGGACATAGGACAGAGCCAGAGACACCAAACGTCTTCAAGGTCCCCTGCTTGGCATAGTCTATGGCCTAAAGAGCAAGGTGACCAGGAGCATCTCCACCCCCTGGAGTGGGCCCTTACTCACACCTCTTCGGTTAAGCCTACCTTCTCCTGGAAGCCTTCCCTGACTGTACCACCTGCTCCATCCCACCAGGCACCATGGCTGGATCTGCCAGAGGCAGGATTTCAACCCCCATGCCTCAAGAACTCTGGCAAAGACCCAGTTCTGGTCCTATAGTGGGGACATTTTCAGCCCCCCAATGCTGATGTAAAGAAGCCCAGACACGGTCCCTGAAAAGGGACTCTGAGGGCCCACGAATGAGCATTTTAAATGAGGACCCTATGACCCTACTAAGGGTTGGAGCCCAGTTTCAAGAAGCCCTGCTGAGGCGGGCACGGGTGGCTCACACCTGAATCCTAGCTACTCAGGAGGCAGAGATCAGGAGGATCATGGTTTGAAGCCAGCCTGGGCAAATAGTTCTTGAGATCCTATCTCAAAAATCCCAATACAAAAAAGGGCTGGTGGAGTGGCTCAAGTGCTTGGCCAGCGTGTGGCAGAAAAAGAAGATCATAGCCTCAGGGTCCAGTCCCTGCCACTCACAGCCCAACTGGCTTGGGAGGAGTGAACCAAGGGGTCCCCCTGGGGTCCCGGTGTGCTTTGGCAGGCACCGCTCTGGCCACCTTACTGCCCTTTCCAGGGGCCCATTCACAAGTGAGGAAACCAATGCACAGAGAGGTTAAAGGGTCCCTGGCCAGGGAGGGCTTTGCCACCTCCTGTCCTGGCAGTCGCAAGGTGCACCCAGCCTCTGGGCGAGGGTGAGGAGGCTGGATTAGTTCCTTTTGTGTCACTGTGACAAACACCCAACAGAAACAACAGAGGAGGAAGGATGTATTTGAGCTCACAGTTTCCACTGTGACAGGGCAGGCATGGGGGAGGAGATCAACTCACATCATGGCGGCCAGGAAGTAGAGGAAGGGGGTACAGGAAGAGGCCAGGACAAGATGCAGCCCCCAAGAACTCATCCCAGTGACCCAGGCCCTTCAAAGCAGGTCGCACCTCCTACTTTTCACCACCTTCCCAATCAAGGGAGGAATCCATTCATTAGGTCACAGCCCTCAAGATCCAGTCACCTTGAGAACAACCTCACTCATTTCCTCAATGATTCTTATTCCTGGTTGAGGTTTTTCTGGGTTTTGTTGTTGTTTTGGTAGTACTGGGTTTTGAACTTAGGGCGTCAAACTTGCTGGGCAGGCGCTCTACATCTTGAGCTATTCCCCTACCCTCCTGGGTGATTTTCAATCCAGGCAAGTTGACACTCAAAATTGACCATCACAGGGACCACCAGCCAGGAGACAGGGGCAGGAGGACCACCAGGAGACGATGTGATTACTTCTGAGCACAGGACATGGGCTGGGCCTTCCCCCTTCCAGAGGAGAAAGCTCTGGGGCCGAAGAGGGCTGTGTGAGAGCCAGGCACATGGACGTCCTCACTGCAGCACTGCTCCTGGGAGCTCCATGATGCTGGCCAAGTCCCCTCTGTTGGAGCCTCAGTCTCCACATCGGTGGAGGGAGGGGTGCCCATGTCTGGGGCCAGATCTGTAACCTGAGCACCTATGTAGCCACAGGTCCCTGGGAGGCCCCTGATCTGGAGGCAGCAGTAGACACTGATGGTGTCCACAGCTAGAGGTGCAGGACAGGTAGGGTCCCCTTGCATGGAGAGGAGGGGAGCTGAGTTCTGAAAGGGCTTGCTGACTGCCTATCCGTGAAGAGGGTGACCAGGGGAGGGGGGCCTGGCCATCGGCAGGGAGGAAGCGATCCCTCCTGTTTCCTCTTCAGTGTTCAGGATGTGCCCAGATGATGGAGGCTGTCAGCTCAGCTGCTGGGCATGGTTGGTGCTGCTAAATTTAAGCTTTCTCCTCTTTGGGCGGAAGCTGGCTGGACCAGAGCCTAAATATAGCTGTGGAGCACCCCCACCCTGCCACTCTTCCTCCCGCTGCCCCACCCACCCACCCACATTCTGCCTGTGGAGCCATAAACCACCAGTCGAGGGACTGCAGGCGAGGGCAGCCCCGGCTAGCCGTATCAGTTCATCTGCCACCTGTAATGTCCACCCCAATCCATCACCCTCCAGCTAAAGCAGATGCCCCTGAAGCCCTGCAGCAGGAGAGGCCATGGGGCCTCAAAATCTGTCCCCTCCTGCCTGTGGAAAGTGCCTGGGGTCCCCATGCTTCATCCTAGGAAGCCTGAGGAAGGGAGAAGACCCCAGGGAAACCCAGAAGCCTAGCAAATGGGGCAAAGGAAAGGGAGTTTTGGTTTTGGGCAGTACTGGGTTTTGAATTGACGTGGCCTCTGGGCAGGCGCTCTACCACTTGAGCCACATCTCCAGTACTTTCTGCTTTAGTTATTTTTCTGATAGTGTTTCACGTTTTTTCCCTGACCAGCCTGGGATCTCAGTCCTCCTACCTGTGCCTCCCATGTAGCTAGGATTCCAGGACCACCACATCCAGGTTTTTTAATGAGATGGAGGTCTGACTAACTTTTTGTGTGGCTCAAGCCACAATCCTCCCAAATCTCTGCCCGAGTAGCTGGGATGGCAAACTTGAGCCACTGAGCTGGACTGAAGTTTCTCAACTTAACGTTTTCTGGGGCTGAGCTCCTCTCCACCACTGTGGCCCTGCTCAGGGATTTGCTCAAGGAGGGAGACAGTGATGTGCCACTCTTCGAGGCTGCATGGGGCTCACATGGTTATTGCCCCCCACCCTGGTCTGGGTCTTGTGTCGCTGGCTGTGTGTGTTTGCAGCAGCACCATGGCACCCTGGGGGCTTTGTGGCAGGATCCCAGGATCTGCCCTGCATGAGGCAGCCAAGTCCTTGAGGACGCCGTGTCACGCTGTGCTGGGCCCTGAGTCATGGTCAAGAGAAGGGTCAGTTTTTCCTGTGCTATCAGAAAACATGGCTCATTGCAGAGTGGGGCGACCTCGCTAAGCATAACCCGAAGCTAGGGGAAAACCACAACCTGGGGAGCGCAGAGGGCAACCAACTCTCCCTTGACCAAATGAGGACAAATGAGGACGGTTCTCAGAAAAGACCACATGCTACTCTCACCATCGTCAGACAGGTCTGTCACCAAAAGCACCAAAGGCTCCAGGAAAGGGACATTTCCAGAAGGACACTGACATCCCATGAGGCCCTCACGGCTGCCCTTTGCCACGGCCCCCTGGACAAGTCAAGGGTCAGGCAGGTCCTCCAGAGTGGGTGGGGAGGAGGA